TTACTGGGGTAATTGGATTACACCAATAACAAATAATTAGGTATTGGCTATTTGCAAGGTTGTTTTATGTAATCCAGATTGGTTGATAAGGGGCAGATACAAGGCTGATGCTTTTACCTTGCAGAAAGCTGGAAATTGTATCGGAATTAGGTGTGTGTCCACGTCCATTGGCCATATTCTTTCATGCATACTATGGGAGTGGAGAGTTCTCTGCATCGCTGCATCAGTGCTTCTAAACTTCCTTCTATCAATTGGAGTGGAGAAAGAATGAGAAACTTTCTTAAGTAGATGTGTCCTAATGTCTGTTCCATGTATAGTTAATGAAAGAGAGAGAGGAGGGAAGACAGAAATAGGAGGACAAGGGTATTTCTTGAATGGGGAAGGTATGTAGAAAAGCTCAAATGCTTATACAGACTTCACCTATGGAAGACCCACTTAAAGGCTTGAGATAATGATAAATTTTCTAATAAGAAGAAGTAGGATATAGGCGACTTAAGTGTGCTTACCTGCAGTTGTTCCTACTGACTTAAGTCTCAGTGAAAATGTTTAAGTGAAAGGAAGTCTTCTAGGAAGGATACTGATCAAATCCTTTTGAATTTTAATTTTACAACTTGGGTTTGATGTTTATCCATAAATCCAGAGTGACATCCACTTCTATCATGTATATGTCTCATTCAGTGCTATATCCACCTGCTTTGCATGGACAAAATTATGGCAGACGGGGCAGGCATACTCACTAATGAGTAAGACAAGGCCAGGAGTGATGTAGTTATTAATTTTGGGTCATGCGCTATTAGTACGTTTCTGCAGGATGTTATTATGTGCAGCTACTTTGTGCTTGGTGTTCATCTGGCATAAATCTCCCACGTGAAGCAGGTGAATATAGCACTGAATGAGACATGTAGAATAATCACAGGATGTCTTAAACCTACACCTGTTGATAGATTCTATAAACTAGCTGACATTGTCCCCTTGATGTGCGACAAGAGGTTGCTGCCAATTGCGAGAGAAATAAGATTGAACACTGTGAAAGCCACCCACTGTATGGCTACTAGCCTTCTCCCAGTAGACTTAAATCAAGGAAAAGTTTCATGAGAACCACCACTCCTCTAAATGTTCCTCCAGCAACAGCGAGAATATCCATGTCGGCAGCAAAATCAGGCAATTCCAACTGGATGGTCCCCCATGAGGGTCTTCCTCCAGGGGCAAACCAAGAATAGGTGACTTGGAAGTCCCTGAACAGATTCAGAAGCAGAGAGGGCAGATCAAAAGACAACCTGGCAAAATGGCACTACCTAGAAGAATCCTCCACCTTGTGTGATTGCAGGGCAGAACAAATAACTTGGCACCTGTATGCTTGCCCACAATGCCCTGCCTCATGCAGAGAGGAAGAACTGATTAAAGCTACAGACAATGCAGCTGCTGTTGCCCGTTTTTGGTCTAAAACTATTTAGCTACTTGTGATCCCTTTATTTTATCACTTTAAACTTATTTATTTATGCAATGCTTTTGACAGAAAATGAATAAATAAAATCATGTATATGTACATTTATTATTTCAACACAAATTCAGTAAAACTAACTTTTATGAAGTGATTTTATGCAGATTTAATTTAGATCCAAAAGGAAAGGGATGACAACACTACATCACTACCAATAACAAAAAAACTATAGATTGTACTCAACCATCAAGGAAAGAGGCTTATGTTTTACTTTTTTGAAAGTTGCACCTGCCTTTATTGGGAAAGAATAACATTATTACTAAAATAATAAAACTTTTGTTAAGCTTCACATTGAGTACCTTGCCTAGTGCCCTCCACAGCCTTTCCCCATGTAAGCCGCCCCGAGTCTCTTCGAGGAGAAGGTGGCGGGATATACAAAAAAAATAGTTACATTATTGGAATATTGCTGCTTGTCGTTGTGTTGTAAACCGCGTTGAGTCGCCGATTTAGGCTGAGAAACGGCGGTATATAAGCACAGTAATAAATAAATAAATAAATTATTATCATTATTATTTCCTACACTTTCATTACCTCTGCCCACAAAACACTACATATAATTTCTTACCAATACCGAATAATGCTAAAATCCAAATATCTTTACATGGTAAGTGTGAACCTACAATGAGGCATAAATGTAATTTTTTTCTAATGTATTATTCATAGGCAAACAACGAAACAGGATTTCTATCATGGTTAACATAAAAATTCAACTAACCCGATAGTGCAACTTGGTAAAGTGCTATATAGAATAATTTAAGTAATTCTATATTACACTTGGGCCAACATCAGAACAACCGCACAGCTACTTTCGCACACTTGAATGGGAAGATCTCCTCCTATGTTGTACAGCAAGTTGCTTTTGAAGCCGAGACGTGAGAAATGGCTATTTAAAGAAAACAGCTAAATCATATTGGGATTTCAGACTTCAGCCTATAGATTAAAGGTAAATACAAACTATATTCTATTGCAAAGCTGGGCAATGTATTGCTCTTGGTTGGAATTCAAGCAAGCACATGCAGGGGAAGAGAGTTTGGAAACAAGGAGGGTGGAAAGAGAAAAGGAGGTACAGCCTAGCAGCTCCCCCTCCCCCCCAGAAGAGTCCAGACTGGTAGCAAGAGTAACGTCCCTTTTCCACAAACTTCTGGACAAGAAAGAATGAAGAAAAGGGGTGAGAGGCCTTTTCTTTCTTGCAGTACCCACTGGCTCTTCCTCCGTCACAGCATGTCATGAAGACCCCAATAGATTACCTGGAGGTATGAAATCCTCTCTGGGGAAAATGGTTCTCTAATCCAGTTTTATGGGAAAAGCTTTTAAGTTTTTGGTTATTGATTCACTTAGCAATGAGGGGTTATGGTGTTAGCCCTGCAGTCCGAGAGGACTAAGGCTTTAGTCTACAATATAGTAAGTGAAAAAAGTAATTAATTATTCAACTACCTGTTTTATAACAGTATTGTATGTGAAAAATTTGACATTCAAGGTGACTAAAACCAAGTATGACCCTGGATTTACAAACTCTTCACTCTAAAATATATGTCAAAGACACATTTCAATAAAATGTTATTAAAGAACCTATTTTTCATCTTTTTAAGCTAGTGGATGAAATTGCCCCTTAAAGGGACAAAGTTATAACTTCTGCTTTTTGAATAACCAGTTGCCAGGAGATATCAATATCTAGTCTCTTATCTTGTACTTAGAAGCAGCCACATCCCTACAAATACTACATTCTTTCAAGTCAATGGTACATCATAAAAAATCGGAAGAAATTAACTGTTCCAGTATGAACACATCCTGGATTCACTGACGTATAACACATTGTTTCTTTGGTTATTTCAGGAATGTAACAATTCTGGGGAAAGTAGAGTTTTTCAACCAGTGTATTTACAGAAATAAAATGTGTGCACGTGCATGTGCACATATGTGTGCAACTAAGAGTGTTTTCATATCCATTAGCATTATGGGATAAATCTACAAGACTGAAACTATGCCAACAGAGATAGCTGTAAGCACACACTTTGTGCTTCTGCATGACTAGAATCCAATGCAAACCACTTGTATTTCTTTTCTTCTAATTTCAGCATTCTGTAAGTACATAATTTTGCCAGAAACTTTTAAAGAAAATATTTTAAATTGATTAGAGAGGGTGAGCATGCAAATTCACGGTTCTAATATATACATACAAAATTTCAAATACATTTACTATCATGATTTTTTTCTCTCTCTATGTAGAGTTATGATTATATATTTCTTCAGCTTTTACAAGGATGAAATAAGCAGGATATAGGACTGCAGAAATATTATACAATGCCCAAATGTATTTAGGAGCTGCATAGAGGATTTAAAGCAGCATCCTGCCAAGCTGAATGGGAACAGCCAGAAACCGATAGCTGATTCTGAAACATGCCACATATTAACTTTGTTCTACCTTAACCAGAAGCTTCTGTTTACACATTTAGTTATGCTATTTATATAATTGAAAATTATATGCCACGGTAAACTAAATTTCAGCATGTATGAACTTTGGTAACTGTAAGTGAAGGATCAATGTACTGTATCTTTTTTTCATAAGGTTTCAAAGAGTTTAAATGCCAAAAGCATTGTTAATTGACGTGATTAACATGTAAAAACCAGGCTGGCTAGAAAAGCAAAACTAGTAAAATAATTTCGTCTTCAGTCAGTCTTTCTACTACTTTTTAAAGTCTTTTGACCTTATATTGTCAAGAAGATCAAAATTCCCTGTTCATTAAAATTAAAATTTTAACTTCTGTTTACTGACAAACAGGGATCATCCTATTGTAAAATTACAATCTAGGCTTCACCTCTGTAAAAGTGATAATGCAGCACAATTAATATCAGATAAGGTCCAGAGATATTTGTCTTTAAAGGCATAAACAGAGCAATCTTTGCAGTATTGTTAGCCTTTCACCCATCTAAAACACATGCGACATTTCTTTGCTCAATATCTGGTTCATTGGGAAGCAGTTTTCTTATCAGAGATGTTTTTCCACCAACAAAACTTGCATTGATCCAGGAAATCAGGGCCAGTAGGACTATCCAATTCTGATGGAAAGGGGCAGAGTGTCCTCCTACTTGTGCTCTCTTCCTATATGTCCAGTCATGAGCCATGAACTACAAGAGATATTGGCAATCTGGGTGAGGAAGCCCTGCCTTGTGACGAAACAGCATGCCAACTGTCTGTGTTATTGGGTTTTAAATATACACAACAAACGACCTCAAGAACACCTGTTGACAAGCAAGGTAAGTATTTTAAATGCATATATAATTACCACAGAAAATCTAACAGGTAAATCCAGCCCAGTTTAATATTTAAAGATCTACAAAGACACACAGAAGCAGTACAAGTAGATTGAGCTGACACAAATAAGCGAACATAAGGGCAAAACAGATGGGACTCACAATGACAGCCCTGCAGAATGCCATCAAGGGTCTGAAGCAAAAGGATAATAAATAGCAGGGTACCATGCTGTTTTGCTAAACTCACCTGACAGAGGTGCACAACCATTCTCTAGGAGCAGAGATGCATGCACAAAAGTAAGAAGATGATTGCAAGTAACAGACTTTAACATAATAAAACACTATGAACTTCTAAATGAATGGAAAATGTTGTATGATATTGAGAAGAAACCGTTCTGGATTTCTTACCTCTCGCTTTGCAAGCAGAACATTAGGAACAATGTGTGGCAAGCAACGCCCAAGCATGAGCATGACACTCTTTTCACTATCTGCAATCCGGGATACCTAGAAGCATAATGAAAAAATTAAAGGGGTATAATAATCATCATCATCCTTATTTATATTCTGCTCTATCTCCCAGGGGAGACTCAGAGTGGATTACAGAATACATATATGGCAAGCATTCAATGCTGTTATACAATTAACAAAGACAAACCTTACATAGACAGAGGCATGGCTTCCTTCTTTTTTCATTTCTGATATCTGGAGGCTGTGCTCGACTCAGGCATGGGGAGGTGCTGTTGTTCCATTTTTCCACACTGGGGAGCCTGTTGTCCATGGATGCCTTCCTGATCTAATTGCCAGCATGTCTTCAGGGGCGCCTTTTACCTCCCTGTCAAAGCGGTACCTATTTATCTACTCACATTGTTGTTTTTGAACTGCTAGGTAAGCAGAAATTAGGGCTGATGGTGGGAGCTCTCTCCAACCCACAGCTTGAACTGACAACCTTCTGGTTGGCAAGATTTTTTGCAGCTGGCGGTTTTACCCACTGTGCTAACTATGGCGCACATGCTATAACCTCTAGGATGAAATAGTTTGATTTTGAAATTGGCATGTAACTTTAACTCTTAAATCCCCATATCTTCAGATATAGGGAGAGATATGTTTTAATAAACAAATCAATAAAATATTAAATTTAATGGAAGACAGCTAATGGTACCTCAATGCAATTGGCTTTGGGGGAAGGAAAGGTTGGCAAAATATTTATAGCTTCCAAATTTCATCTTCTCCTGCATATTCTTGTGCATGTGTGAGATGAGAAATGTATTTACCACTTAAAATCTTCTCAAGCTATTAAACTGTGATTCCATAATCACCTGACCAAAAGTACTTGAAAGGTTAAACACCTCAGAATTGAGATGGCCTCCTCAATCTAATTGTTAGAGTGAATCAGAAAGTAGTATTTTATGAAAAGTACATAGACGTATACCTCTGATCCCAAACGACTTTCTGCTGACATCTGACAGAAAGACAGCAAAGCTTGATGGAATGCAGGTGATAGCTTCCTGAGATGATAAAGATGGGAAGAGGAGAGAATTAAACAGGAAATGGAAAAGCTTCACAATGGAAGAAAAACTGTCCCCCATGTTCCCAAAGGGCAAGTGAGGCTTCTTTTAAAATTTAAAAACAAAAAGGGAGGATGTAGCTCTCTGAGCTCCCATGGAGGGTGTAGCTGCCCACTGACATACTCATTACGTTCCAGGTTAGACAAAACCACTCACAAAACACTCCAGAGCAGTGGTTCTCAACCTGTGAGTCCCTAGTTGTTGTGATCTACAACTCCCAGAAATCCCAGCCAGTTTACCAGCTGTTAAGATTTCTGGGAGTTAAAGACCAAAACATCTGGGGACCCACAGGTTGAGAACCACAGCCTCTAACTCAGAGTCATCAAACTTGCGACCCTCCAGATTTTTGGGCCACCAACTCCCAGAAGCCATAGCCAGATTATGCAATGGCCAAGAATTCTCGGATCTGAAGTCCAAAACACCAGGGGCACAAGTTTGACACTTCTGCTCATGGAGGAACTGTGGAATTCCTCCTTTATCAGATCCTAGTACAACATTTCTCATTTCAAGAGACTTCCGGTGGCTACACTCAGAAATACTCTCAAAGTTTATGACATCACACTCACATTTCTGATCTGAGAAATAGAGTCTCTGCAAGTACTGTCATGCTTTCTCTTTTTTTCAACTTGTATTTTTCAAAATTATTCAAATTATTATTTCTATTGGTTTCCCTTGCTTTCCCCTCCCAAAGACAGCTAAGTACATGCACCCATGGATTAGTGAATTCAATTATATTATCAATTTTTCTACGCAGAGCAACAAGAGGGCTTAAAACCTAGAGAAATTGTCTCCATTGTCATTAAAGGGTAGTTGGCAGGCAGTTTTATTTTGTGTGGAGAAAGTTAGGGTGGGGATTGCAGCCCTCCAAAGGTTCCTAGATGATTAATACGGCCCTCTAAACTTCCACATTTGCTCAGTTTTGAAAGATGCTATAATTATTTTAAAATGTTGAGTTCACTTCTTGTCCATCAATTTGTGATACTGAATCTCTCTCTGTGTGTAGAGAAGTGGTTATGTGTAAGAAGAGAGAAAGGAGCTACACATCAGGGAATCTTTCCTTTAAAAACAAGATCTAAACACATTTTGGGTAACATAGCGTTTCTCAACCTGGGAGTTGGGACCCCTCGGGGGGTTGCGAGGGGGGGTGTCAGAGGGGTCACCAAAGACCATAAGAATTTTTTTTGTTGGTCATGGGGTTTCTGTGTGCCAAGTTTGGTTCAATTCCATCATTGGTGGAGTTCAGAGTTCTCTTTGATTGTATGTTAACTATAAATGCCAGCAATTACAACTCCCAATGTCAAGGTCTATAAATCCCAAATCCCCACCCCCACCCTTAACCCCACCAGTATTCAAATTTGGGTGTATTAGGTATTTATGCCAAATTTGGTCCAGTGAATGAAAATACATCCTGCATATCAGATATTTACATTACAATTCATAACAGTAGCAAAATTACAGTTATGAAGTAGCAATTAAAATAATGTTATGGTTGGGGGTCACCACAACACGAGGAACTGTATTAAGGGATCATGGAATTAGGAAAGTTGAGAACCACTGGCTAACATAATATGCTTTGATCAAAGCAACATTCTTGAACTGTGACACAAAACTACACTTGCATCTACTATGAGGATTAAAGTCCTCATGCATCTATCATTCTGTCATTTCCTTGCTTGGAGAATCACAACTTTTTTCAGTGTAATAGGATCTACCAACTATCAGAGCTAGACAATCCTTAAATGTGATGAGTGCAACAAAGTTGGCACAAACAATGTAGAAATATTAGGGCCTAAGACTAGCAGTACTATTAGTTCACATGCAGTACCTAGCATAAAAATTTGAAAAGTGTAGGAGGATGGAAGATCAGACGGCATTTCTCCCCCATCTGAAATGAGAAAGAATCTTACCAATGGTTCTATAAGTTAAAATTGTTAAAACTACTAGAGAATACATACGTAGTAAAGTGTTACGAACTTTAATGTTTGTATTCCTAGCCTATAATGTAATCAATGTCGCATGACTAACCTATTGGGTTTATCGAAGTGTACAGCAGCTTTGTTTGATGGGGAACAAGATGAAAGTGTCTCTTTACAAGGGAGAGATATTCGAGGATCTTCTTTAAAAGTTCTTGATTCGAATTCTGAGAAATTCCTTTTCTCTTCAGTTTCAGTATGTTTATCCTCGTTAGATGAACTCTTTATATCTAAATACTTCCCATTATCTGGGACTGTGAGAGGCACTTGAGCGACAGAAGACTGGACCGAGTCGTACATCACTGGAATAGGAGTTTTTTCACTTCTTAAGTAATCTATTTCACTAAATGAGAGAAGGGGAGGAAAGATTAGTTTAGAATTAAAGAAAGGATTAGTAAATAATAAACCACTTTTAGTAACCTAAGATGTATATTAACAGAAGGTTTTAAAAACATTATTTCAGTACAGGTACCTTTCCTGTTTCACAACATTAAAATTATATGGAAAATAGAAATGGGGAAAGAGAAAGAGTTATTGATCTAGAGATTTTTCTCTTGCCTTAAGAAATCAATGCAGGAAACAAATTATACAACATATCACATTGTGATAGAATTCAAACACATAGCTGCATTGGCCCATTTGTCACAACTTGTTCTGGTTCCCTATCAGCTTTACACTATATCCCTAGAACACCCACCACTCACTGTGGCTATAAGTAACATCTGTTTCCTCTACTTTGTCCTCCAATGAACATGGTTAAAATCGAACTTGTTAACTCATAAATACACCCACAAGTTATGCATTTTTAAAACTATTCAAACATATGCATGCACACATACTACATCGAAAGTCTATGGCAGCTTATGATGCAAACTTTTTCCTCTCAGTCTCAGAGGTGCGATAATATATTTCTACAAACTTATCACAACATCTGAGTAAAAATTACCTACTAGAATAAAATGACCTCAGGAGTCTGTTTAAAGGCAGGCAAGGAGAAGGGCAGGTAATATGAGAATACTGTGTATATTAGGCTGACTCCCAACTGTACTTCTTCTGTCTGTAAAAGGATGAGTTAGAGCAGGTTTATAGGGGCTGAGCCTCTAAGGCAGGCATGGGCAAACTTCCTAACCATGGGGTCGCATGGTGGGCTGAAGCGGGGTGAGCAGGCCGGGAGGGAAGGGGTTCTCCCCAAGTCCTCTCCCTACCCTTTTCTCTTTTGGAGGCAGAAAGTGAAGACGGGAAACATTTGGTTCCCAAAAGGGTTTGCCTTGGTCAGGATGAAATGGTGGATGGGAGAGAAAAAGTGTATCAATTAGACCCCATATTGCCTATTCCTGATATATAATCCTAAAATCTTAGAGCTGGGAAAAACCCCCAAGGGCCATCTAGTCCAACCCCCTGCCATTCAGGAAGGCACAATCAAAGCACTCCCAATAAACAGCCTCTGCAGAAAAGTCTCCAGAGAAGGAGACTCCACCACACTAAGAGGCAGCCTACGCCGGTTGATTCCCCCCCGCCCCCCCGCCATTTGAAACCATTACTCCCTTGTGCCCTGGTCTTTAGAGCAGAAGAAAGTCAGTTTTCTCCCTCCTCTTCAACGGGACATCCTTTTAAATCTTGAAACATGGTTCTTATGTTCCCTCTCTACATTCTCTTTTTCTAGCTAAACCTCCCCTAGGAGGAAAGGAGGAAGGAAAAAGAGAAGGGAGGAAGGGAGGGAGGAAGAGAAGGATGGAAGAAAAGAAGGGTGGAAGGGAATGAAGGTAGGGAGGGAAGGGAGAAGGAAGGAAAGACAAAAGGGAAGGAAGGAAGGAGGAAGAGAGAGAGGGGAGGAGGGAGGAAAGAGGGGAGGTAGGAAGGATGAAAGGGTGAAAGGGAAGGGAAGGGATGGAGGGAGGGAGGCAGGGAGGGAGAAAGAGGGAGGTAAGGAAGGGAGGGAGGGAGGAAAGAAAGAGAGAAGGAAGGAACGATAGGATGGTGAGAAAGAGGAGGGCCTGAGAAAAGAGCCCAAGGGGCTGCATCCCGCCCCTGGGCCTGGGTTTACCCTTACCTGCTCTAAGGCCAAACCTCCACCTATTAGATTATGTAACACAATTTTTGTTCCTAGTTTATAAATGTTATTTGCTAATTGGTTCCATCATAAAACATGGAAAAGGTTTATTAAACTGCAAAAACTTTGTTTTTGTGGGAAATTCTGCAGCACATTTTGCTATAGTTTTTCAATGAATATTTCAGAGTGTAAACCAATTCATAGCTTGTGGCAGCCACAAAAATGAAGTTTCTGGGATATAACAACTACTTTCAAAGTAAGTACCACACAATTAAACAAGAATAACACTTTCAAGCCAGGAAAAGAATTTTTTTCCAAATTTTGTTACCTAGTGTTATTGTAACAAGAAACAATTCAATTCTATTGGCTTCATATAGCAGGTTCTACTACTCCAAGAGAACTCTGACCAGAGAAATTTGAGCCAATTATGGTTTCTAGTCTATAATGACAGTCCAAGGTAGAGTAATTCAATTCTGAAATGACTATGGCCCGAAAAGCTAGACCAGTTTTTCAAAGGTAAGTCATTACTGCTTAAACAGATAACGCTGACTGCCCCAAGGAATGCCTGCCAGCTGTGAAACCTTCATTTTAGAAGAACCTAGTTTTGACAGTTGTTCAAAGATTATCTTTCTTTCTTGACTGGTGGTTGTCCATTTGGAAACCTCCCCTCCCTGCAACAGAGCTCATCCACTCCAGTGCTCTGCAAGAAGTAGCGGTTCCCAATCCACCTTCCTGCACAGTGCTGTGAAACAATGTTATTTATGTCAGCTGAGAGGGTTTGCTATATAAACTTTTCGGCTCTGTTGTACTGGATACAAGTTGAGCATCCCTTATCGGAATACCAAAATCCAAAATATTGTGTAAGAAAAATTTGTCCACATGGGTGTCTGAAATAGTGACACCTGCTTTCTGTTGATTCAATGTACACAACATTATTTCATGCACAATAATATTGTATGAAATTACATGCCTTTCTCTATAAGGTGTATATAAAACTATATAAAATGAATGTTTACTTCAGATTTTGGTCACATCTTCACATATGTAGGCAAAACAAGTATTCTAAGTATTTAAATCCAAAACACTTCTGGTCTCAAGAATTTTGGATAAGGGATAATCAAACTATTGTCGAAGGCTTTCATGGCCGGAATCACTGGGTTGTTGTAGGTTTTTTTGGGCTACATGGCCATGTTCTAGAGGCATTCTCTCCTGACGTTTTGCCTGCATCTATGGCAAGCATCCTCACAACCTCTGAGGATGCTTGCCATAGATGCAGGCGAAACGTCAGGAGAGAATGCCTCTAGAACATGGTCATATAGCCCGAAAAAACTTACAACAATCCGATAATCAAACTGTACCACAATCTAGCCATATGTAGTAATACATCAATTAGTTTCAACAGTTCATTTCAAGACAGACAAATTTCAACCTCTGAAAAAAATTGACAAATCACAATGTTGCAATCCATACCTTTCAAGTCTCCGTATCTGTTCCAGGAGAGACCATTTCTCAGTGCTTAATGCATTGATTTGATCTTCTAATTTCTGCACCATTACGCATTGCTAAATGAAAGGAATACAAAAGGGAAAGTCAATATGTCATACTGTTTAATTATAGCACACGTCAAACTTGCAAAGGTGAACAGCACTTGGCTACCTCTATTGATTCTGTTGTTCCAAATACAGGAATGTTCTCTAGGATAGGGGTGCTTGCCTCCAGTTCATCCTCCTCTGTGCCAACTGCTACATCCACAACATCCTTTGCTGTTACTTGGTGGTTACCAAAGTCACGGTACAGTTGTAGCAAATCTGGTGGCTTTGGGATGTTCAGTCCTACATCATCCCACAGTTCAAAGTCCTTCGGAAGTGCAAAAGCAAAACAGTCACTGTGCTTTTCCTTTCAACTAGGCAAGTATAATACAACATGAAAAGTTGAGATGGGAAGTAAAAAGGTTGAGTCTAGCAGGTTGAGTCTAGCAGGTGCCACAATTTGGAGTATTTTACTAATACAGGCTTATCAATACAATACATTTTGCTTGGAAATCATGGAAAAATTGAGGGGAAGAGGAAAGGGGACAATTAGAAGAAGGCAATCCAGAAGATGACATGACTATGTTGCAGGAAGGGGTGTTCACGAGAAAGGAAAATAAATCACATTTCCTTTCCTCCCTCTTCTTTTTAAGGATTTCCCTCTCTATATAGCAAATTCAGGGAAGAGCTGTCACCCTCCGTTCATAATATCCAGAACACTGCCACATACTACAAAAAACCCGAAACACTGAGGCACCATGCCAGCAGTCAGTCTAATACCAGTAAATGTAAGCACTTCATAACAAAGAAAAGAAAAAAAACAACAACAAGGTGCCCCAGCCCTACAAATATCACACTCCAAGTTGGCTGGAGAATTGCAGAAGAACTGGTGAAACACAGCAACATTTTTTCTTCACCTATGGTTTTTTATTTCCTCCTATGAACAAAACAACAACTCTACATTGGACTGTTGAGAAAAGTGCAGCCCACTAGGGCTGATGGGAGTTGTCATTCAACAACTGCAAAAGTTGTTGGCACTTGTTCAGTCCTGTCCCTAACATGCTGAAGAAAATAGCTACCATAGTTCTATAGAAATAATGCTAAAATATGACTGAGTGTTACAAAATGCAAGTTTTTTTAAAAAAAGTATGGTGAATAACATATTACTGCTACTTACCTGATCATCATTTTCATCTGAAAAAGTTATTGAAGTAAGCTTGTAACCATTCTTTAATAAAAATTCATTGACTAAGAAGTTTAGGGCTCTTTTTTCAAGAGGTTTAATTGGTTCCTAAGAAGGAAATAAACATAAGAGATTTAAGTGCTTGCTTTATTAGAACTGCTATTTCTATTACGATTAACAAGTATTTCAGGACAATCACACATCTAGGCATGACAAAGTAATTTGAGCAGTGGGATACAGAAAACCACTAGCCTAAAGCATGTCCGAGTTTAGATGCAAAACTGATATACTGGAACAACAAATACAGCGTCTTCAACTACCCACCTGAATTTCAGGACTTGATTTGTAATTTCTCCGTTCCTGCAAAGGAACTTCATTTTCTGCAAATACCAATACATGAAAAAGTATTATTCTCTATTTTGAAACACATTACCTATTATTTCATTTTTAAAAATCAAAATACAAAAACTAAGGAAAAGGTTTATGTACACCACCTGCAGCCTGAGTCAGGTTGGCTCGGAGGGCCTGAATGGTCTCTTTTGCTTTCCGTAGTTCAAACTCCAGGACTGGACAAGGATTTGGATTAAACATACACAGGCATCCAACCAAGAATAGGGAAACAAAAATGAAATATAAAAAAGCAAGGATGGATATGAAAATAAAATACAATTTGTATTAAAGACAAAGCATGCAATCTTTATGGAACTCATGAACGCATGCAGCAGAGTTAGACTGAAGCAAACTGGTGAACATTTTCCATCATTAAACTCTAATCTTAATTAATAATTAAAGCTGTCTGACAAGGAATGCTATAGGGTTTAAGCAGAATGTTGTACCACTTTTAATTTGTTCAGAACATTAGAACAACTCCCACTACAAAGCAGTAATGCACACTAAGACTTTAATGTTAACAAAAAGTAGATGTTAAGGATGTATGTGTGTCTTGTTTTGCGGGATCAGGTGGATATGATTAAGCTACTAGTTACCTAAATTGTATAGAATTGCCAGCAATTACACTTATTAATGAACACGCTGCATATTATATGGCAGCTGCTATCATGTAACATGCTTTTGTGTGAAGCAGCTTATTATGTGGATTTTTAAAATGCCAATGCAAACTTTAGAAATCACAGTGAAATGATCCAATTCACCCATGCTAGCACCAATACTGATAGCAGATCTGGGGTAAGTAACTATGATAGAAATTAGGAGACAATCAAGTTGGCCAAGTCTGTGAGAGCTGCAAATTTTTGTTTTCAAATAAAATTAAAAATATATGACAATTAGCTACAAACAAGTAAAATCGCTTTTAAAATAGTAATTTTTAAATCACTTTAAATTATCCTCATGAATAAATGAAATATTTCACTCATATTTATTACATTTATATTTAAATATATTATTCATGTATACATAATGATTATCTTTATATTTATACAGGGTGAGGCAGCATAACTTCCTTTTTTAAAATGCGCACCATTTAGTCGGTGGAAGACGTGGCGGAGCGCTAGTGGTCTCGTTCGAGAGGCGGGAGTATAAAGTTTTGTCCTGACACAGTTCAGTCGCCATCATGCGTTGGAACAGTGAGGAGCGTGTTTTTGCTGTTGAGGCCTACTTTTTGAGCAGATTTGAAGTGGCTGGCCCTCTCCAGATTTGGCCCCTTGTGAGTTTTTTTCTATGGGTTTTTTTGAAATCTTGTGTTTTTGTGAACCGTCCAAGGACCCTACAAGATTTGAAGACCAACATCCAGGAAGAAATTGCCAACATAACGCCTGCTATGCTGGCAAGAGTCATGACAAATGCCAGGAAATTGTTTACTCAGTGTATGGGGAATGGAGAATGGGGGACATCACCTACCTAATTTAATCTTCAAAACTACGTAAAACAAAACTTTAGGTATGCACCTACATTATAAAATTAAAAAAATCTGATTCATACAATGGATTTTATTAAGTTTTGAAAAAAGGAAGTTATGCTGCCTTACCCTGTATATTAATGAACTACTAAAATGACGCAGAGTACTGATATTGAACTGACCAGTACATATATTATGATATTGAATGTGATACTGACAATTCCATTAAACTGAATTCAAGGTTTGGAATTTACTGCTAAACAATATGAAATAAAACTTTAATACTATCAGTGTGAAATAAAATGAGAAGATTTAGTTACATGGGAGATATCCTTTTCAGGGAGTGACTGAAAATCTTTATATTGGCAAAAGGATGAATTATAGAGTAATGTGCACAAAAATTCTTTAGCTAAATACTTTTCATGGATCATTTAATATTTCTAAAATGCATACCAATAATCTTATATTTAGGATGATTTTCTGCATTATATGAGCCATGAGCATGTATGGAAAAACAATTCACTCAGTTTGCATTTTACTTCTCCAAAAACAGAAGGGGAAGTTAGAGTACATCACATCTACTACATGGAAGTAAATTGTTTGATGCACAGAATTTTACTGCAGAAATACAAAAGCACAACTGAGGATTTGATGAGGAGGTGTGGAAAAAAAATCTGTAGAAGTCAGCAATGCTGATCTGCAAATATTTCTGTGCAACAAAGTCTGAAAACATTACGATATTTTAACTCTTTCTGTAAAAGCAGCCAGCATTAATGTAATTAATTAATGTTGGCTTTTAAAACTATTCAGCTTTAGAATAATTCATCAAGTAATTAATTTAACTATGATGTAGAGGCTTCCTCCTTTAAAATACATAAAAATAAATGGTTACAGAACAATTGCAGATCAGAAATGCCCTGCAACAAGATGATAAAATGTCTAAAAAAATTAGCAGAAACACAAATTGTATAGCAGCTCAGGAATTCCAGTAAGAAAACGGAATTTCAACAGCAAGACATTTCACAAAGGGCACAGAAAGCCAGAAAACCCATATTACATAAACCCATGTCAGACGGCAATGTATTTCCATTTCCTAATTATGACACTAAACAAAACAGTATAATTATATTTGAATTCCCCATTAATACAGTTTACTCTGCTGCATGGTTTCTATTTAGACAGTTCAGTTCAAGATTAGTTCAACAGCATATCACTTAATTCAGCACTAGAGTTTCAAGATACATCTGATAAAGACAGCTCTTATCCAAATTTGTTAGGTTGGACACAGCCAGTCCTTCACATGGGCACTTTATCTAACATAAGTCTCTGCCTGACTGTAATATCCATTTTCTTCTGTAGCACCATCACACAACTATTTTGGAGAATTTCCCTTTCCATTGGAGGGTGCTGCAAGTATTGCAGTGGGAGGCAGATTTCAATTTGTCTTTCTTTTAAAAAGCCATGAAATTATATTGGTAGAGCACTACAGCACACAAAGGTGGCTGTTGTTCTACAATTTATTGCAGAAACCAACCTTTAAAATAACATATCTTCCACACCACGAAAGGCATAATCCATGCTCACAGTACTTCGGAGCAGCCATTCTTATACAACCAATATATAAAGGATCATAACAACCAACATTTGAAGGTCATGAGTTCACTCAACTTGACATGATGCCAGACCCTAGTGTGAACAGATACAATATGGATTCCTTATAATCCAGTTACCACAGTGACCAATACCAATAGGCCATCACTTTGAGAGAACCCACTGGCTGAAACTGAACTATTTGATACTCCTCTTAGGTTGCTCCATTCTTTTTCAATCCTGTAGTCTTTATTGTTTGGAGAGGAAAAACCCTACAAGGCAAATCCTGGTTTTTGTTGCAAACGTATGTAGAAATTAGAGTATAGTGAAAGATCAGTTTTGGTACCAATGTCAGCCTAGAAAAATATGCAGAACTGAAAGATGTGAAACAGCACATAGTTGTTCTCACTTCCTCTTGTTCCATTATGCCCTTTTCCCAAGAAGAAATCACTCAATTTCCAATTCTAAACAAGGAGGAAGATAGTGAGCATTTTGAGTATGTGTGTGTTCATAAAGGATTATGGTCAGTGGAAGAGATCGTATGAGTTTTGACCCATGTTGGAAATGCCTGGAAAGAGCCAGAATGAGCCTCATGCTTGTAACACTCCACTCTATCCTCTACAAGGAAATGATTCAGAAGATTTAGCTTAAGTTTTAATTAACATCTTCCCACATCATCCAGCTTAGAAACCACGATTCATCTTAATTAAGAGTAGTCTAAGTGTGATCAAAGAAAATTACCCTGTCTGGAAGTTAGGACCAGTAGAAGTTCAGATGTTATTAACATCAAGGGGAACACAGACAGACCTTTACTTATAGTTCTTTACTGCAAATAAAGAACTATGTACACTGTGTAAATAGGAGGTCCTGAAGGTAGTTCAGCTGATGGTGAGATGACTCAAATGGAAGAACATATGAATGATGAAGAGGAAACACAGGAAAAAGGGCAGATGTAAAAAGAGGTAGGGGATGTCACAGATGGTATTGAAGGAGGAGCTGTGTTGTTTGAGAACAGGTCCAAAGCGCCATTAGGCAGCAGTGGGTCAGAATGATGATGGATATGGTAAGCTGACAATACTTGTCTTACTGGCTAATTATTTTGAGTCCCCATGGGGAGATAAGGCAGGATAGAAATAAAGTATTATTATTATTATATTAAAATAAATCCTTAGTTGAAGAGATACCTAAGACCTTTAAAACATTTTAAACATGCTAAAACTTCTACAATCAATCTTATTTGTTTTCAAATGACTTACAATTTTCTACCTAATAGCACAAACCAGTATTGTTTCTGCTACTATTTTTGCAGCTAACAGTTACACAGTTATGAAACAGGTCATAAATATTTTTCTTCAGCATGCCAATATTCAGAATCTGATATTGAAGGTATTTGTCTTGTGGCAATACTACTACTGAGCTCTCTGATATTCAGAAATGAATGCTTTGAGGAAAAAAGAGAGTTATAGCAGGGAAATTGATATCTGAAGTATCTCTTCTATGATAGCTTAAGACAGTGGTTCTCATCCTGTGGGTCCCCAGATGCTTTGGCCTTCAACTTCCAGAAATCCCAACAGCAGGTAAACTAGCTGGGATTTCTGGGAGTTGTAGGCCAAAGGATCTGGGGACCCACAGGTTGAGAACCACTGGTTTAAGAAGACTCTAGCCTGGTTTATTCCAGACATTTTGGATGGCTGTGAGACTGCAGCAGTGTGACTGCCGACCAAGAATGTTCGGGGGGGGGGGGGGGGGGGGGGGGGTGTAGTTCAAAATAGGTTGGGCAATCCTGCTCCAAGGAAAGAGTTGAATATGTGAAAAGAGACCGATAGCTGCTACATCTATATAATACTGGTACCAAATAAAAAGTGACTCACCAGCCACCCGTTCATCTGTTTCTCTATTTCCATCATCTGAATATCTGGCAAAATCCAAGGAATCAAGGGTGCTAATGCTTCCAGCTCGATCTAAAAAAGAGAGATTTTTTTAAAGCGATGGTAATTTTTTAAGGGAAGGTAAATAATTCAAAGGTTGCAAGTTCATGAAAGAAACATATATTTTGACATCTGCTTATGATTCTCACTAGACAGATCACATTCTGAGCAAACATGCTGCACAAGGCGGAGTATTAGAAACTTGATCACCAGTTTTAATAGAACTATTAAGAATATGCTGCTCACTTTGACACCACATATTTTATATTGAAAAAATATCATATAACTATTCCCTTCTATTTCCCACAAAGTTTTTTTTTTACATAATCTGAAAAAGATGGTATCTGGAATAAAAGAAAATCAATTTGAATACTAGAAATGAGCTGTCTCAGCACAAAAACTATGTCACAAAAATAGGGTAATGCATTTTTAAAAAAAGCAACCCAAAGTTGAGAGGAAGACAACATGTGGAGACAGAAGAGCTGGAGAGAAAACAAATGTCTCAAACTACAGCATGTTCCCATTTAGGTCAGTGTGCTTCATTTAGAATTAACTATGTAAAAATACTTAAAGAAGTGCCACCTAATATAAGAATCACTTACAAATTCAATGGTTAAAAAGCTTGATGAGTGCAGAATTGCATCACAGCTCTATATTCCATTAAGTGGCAAAATGCAGAATTGTTAATTCCTGCTCGTTGTGGACTGCAAGTAAACTAATTTTGTACCAATCTATGAACATTATCCTAACCAAGGAAACTAATTTGTACCAATATATGAACATTACCCTAACCTTGTCCTAACCAGTCTATGAACCCTAACCAATCATAGATTTGTACCAGTCTATGAACCTTAGCCCTAAACCTCACTATAACCTACTTAATTCCAAAATTAAGTTAGCAGTTTATTATGTTATTCTCTCTAGCTTATTCCTTCAACAATGTATACAACATGATTCATACTCTGTGGCTGACACATTGTCTTTCATAGCAGTATTCTGAACAGATTCTGCTAGTCGTGCATACTGTTCAAACATTCATCACCTTTGTCAACAGGTGGAACAAGTTATGTTGGAAATGTCCACAATATCCCACACCCTTCTTTTCACTGGCTTGCCGATTGTGATTGTTTATGTCCAAGGTAATAAGTTCAATTCTAAGAAATAATGTGCTGGGCAATTAAAACAATAAATGAAAAGCCTTGATCTATGCAACTGCCTAAATACAACAAGAGGAGAGCCACTGAATCAATTGTTGAGTGGTAAATCAACACAGAGGTTTATTGTGAGTGACTTCAAGTCATTTTTGACTCAGGCTTTATATAAAATTCAGACGGTCTGTTTTGAATTGGATTATATGGCAGTGAAGACTCATATACCAGTAATCCACTTCAAAGCAGATAATGTGGATTATCTGCTTTGATAATCTGGATTATACGGCAGTGTAGACACAGCCTCAATGGGTTTGCCACTGCGTTCCTCAGACTGAGGAAGTATGTTTTGCCCAAGTGATTTCTATGGCCGAGTGGGAATTCAGACTCTGGTCAACCAGAGACCAGAGAGCCTCCTAGTCAACTACTCTATCATACTGATTCTGGGCACATATATCACATTTATTCAAGGAATTTAGTTGGAAGTAACCAACAAGTTTTGAACTGCTGACTTTTAATGATGCCATCTATTCAAGAGTTTTCAGAGATGCCAGGAAAACCTGTAGATTAGTTTTCTTTAACCTGGTGCACCCTAAAAGATTTTATTTCCAATTTCCATTACTCCCTGGCACAAATCTGACATGTTTCCAAAATAGCAGTTCAAAAAAGAAAAAAAAAAATCCAAAGCTACCATATATTTCTCCATGGAACCTTTTACACAGCATTTATGTATCTGTGTATAACCTTCTAGCTAGGCTGATATAAAAAAGTTCTAATTTTCTTTTTCATGAGACTATCACTGACAAGCCCTAGTACTCAGAGAACAGAATAAAAAATGGAACACACTGTTAATTTAGTTTCTACTGAATTTCTTAAAATTTCTTGCTTTTCAATCAAACAACTTGAAGGTACACAACAACAATTTATGTATAGCTGCTCAGAAAGACAGCCTTTTTAATAGTGTATTTCCACTCAAGTGTTGCTATAGTACGGATGGAAGTGTTCAGTATGTAAAGTCTTCCAATCAATGAACGGAAACATTTCTGGTGAGAAACACAACATAACTGTCAATAATTGGGTCTAAAGTGTTTTTAAAGTATTTGTAACAAGGGACTATAAAGAGCTTAGAAAGAATGTATCTTTAAAGAGACAGGTTCATTCAGAGTTGTCAAGTAATATTCAATGGCCTGCTGCTCATATCCTGCTCCAACTCATTTCAATTCATCTTTAGAGGTAAAGGAAACACACTGAGGGATTATAGAGAAACAACAGAGGAGCATGAGAGGTCATAGTAGCAATCTGTTACAATTTTTCTACCACATTTGCACATTTCTGAAGAGCACATATATACAGAGGCAGGTGCCACTATGAGTTGCTGTTTCCCTAGCAGAGAACACATAGTTGAATAATGCTCAATATTGCTGGCATTTAAATATCACTTCTCCAATGATTCAGGTAATGTATGTACGGTATGTATAATATTTATATCTTGTCTGCTATCTATAAATCTGAGAGCAGTATACAAGAAAGTCAATCTGACCAATTTAAAAGAACATAAATACATAATTTTAAAAGGCTAACAATCTATGTAATAATTTAACAAGTTAAGAATATTAAAACCGATCCAAAAAGTTTTACAAGATTTATATGTGAGAGTTTACATAAAACCCAAAAGGTCCCAAAGGCTCAATAATCTCTTGGTGTTGGAAAGAAAGAAACATTAGTACCCATCTGGTCTTCAAGGGGATGCTATTCTAGATTTCAGGTGTCATAGCAGAGAAGATCTTTGTGTTGTGTTGGTGGATTGCATGGTGAGGAGCCATGGTATAATGTCACACAACATTTATTATTTTTCCACACAGGTCAAATCAATTAGTAATATATATTTGAAACATGGCTCTTTCTAATGTTGAAAAGAATAATACCTATGTTTTCAAAAATCTATGGGGGAATTCTCAGGACAATGTTTTCATTGTAACATCTTACCAGGTTCACAAACCTAGTCTTAGAAACCAAGTGGATCTGAGATCTTGTAATCTGATTTCATTTATTTTATGTAATGGATATTTGTCTGTGAATAAAGTGAATAAATCTTTTGCCCACTCTCACTATCCTGCATCATGAATTGTTCTATCTGCATGATGAAGTGACTAAGAAGAGGTCATAAAAATAATGGGCAGACATAATCATTGTTATTGTTGTTTTTAATTCCTATCTTTTCCATAGTTTAAAACAGAGTGAAAAATTCAGTTACAAATTCACAGCATCCAAAAGACTGGTCAATTAAACTACCAACAAATTAAAACCAATTCAAGACCATAAAAAAGAAAACATAGAAAAACAAAAAGAAAGTCCAGCGTGTTATACAAGGCATGCTCCTTTTAAGCAATCAATTCTCAAAGGCTTTCTGAAATAATATGGTCTTTACATGTTTGTGGAAAGATACTGGAGTAAGGATTTGCTCATTTACTCTCTCTGGAAAAGGACCGGGTCCTTCTCAGATGATCTTAAAACACAGGCAGTTCCGTATGGGTACTTCTACCAGAGCTTTTCAGATTGGCATTGGTTCCAAAAGAAGGAGATTTTTAATCTATCTGCCTCCTGCCTTGTTCGGGCTTGTAAGAATGGAAACAATCCCAAGAACAATGCTATTGCTAGGTTTGACACATATCCATGGTAAAACATTATCCTCTCTCATTAGCTAAACCAATTGCTCAAGCTGTAAGGAACTGGGGATAACGCAAACTATCTTAGAATAATTGTGAAAGCCTTTGAATGTTGAAAGCATGGAGATGTTAGAAAGGCAAGCAAGCATAATATTTGCCACTTAGCCTGTCACCTAGATCAGTAACTTCTTACGTCAGACTGACAACTGTTACTCATTCCAGGAAAACAAGCTGCTTTACCTGTGGATTCATTCACATGACTGGGGGAAAAGCTTTTGCAGTTTAAATAACGCCTGCGTAAAGATTAGGTTAGAAGAAGGAAAACAACTCTCTTGGTTATCATGCTTCAGGAATAAAGCCTTCTTGCCCACTTTTCTGGAAACTATCTTAATGTGTAGTACATTTTTATGATATGGAAGCCTATCCTTTAACCCCCCGTTTCATTCCATGGTTCAAAACTTATTGCAAAATCATCAACCAAGTAGTTGATTTTCGTTTAGAACAATGCAAATGAATTTACTGGTTTAACACAATTACAAATGTTAAATTCTTAGGGAAATTTTATACTGGACTTTGGCACAGTTGAAAAAACAGATTGTTATACGAGTGAAACCTTGACTACAATAAAGGGAAATTTAGGATAATCACAAAAGTACTCCTTTGTGAATGATGCAATCAAGATGTACATGGATTATGAAATTAAAAACTGGTTCCAGGAGATGATGAACAGGAAATGTTAAAACTCTTGAATTCTATTTGGGTGTGGCAGCTATACAACAATTTAAAGGCGTTAATGAAATAGTGGGCAAGGTTGTATTCAAAGAAAGGCTTATCACTGAAACTTTATACTTAAAAGATATTTTGAGGGAATTTGGTCACAGCTGAAAATGCAGTTTGTGAAAAATGTGTAATATGAGTTTAGCTATGTTCACAAATATTAGTGTTCCTATTTATTTCACTTCTGGGGAGACTCAAGAGGAATGTTGCTCAGTGTTGTATGCCAATAAAGACGTGTGTGTGTGTGTGTGTAATTAAAATGTACTGCTATGATTGCAATTTTGCCTAATTACAATTCCAACTGTAGTCTCTGATGCATCCCCCCCCCCCCCCCCCGTGATAAGGCACTTACTGTAACCAAAACTTATCTACATTCTCATCTCAGGCTGAATAGATGAAGTATTTCTGAAGAATCTGAAATACAGTGCAGTTTGATAAGATT